ATTTGCCTATCTACTCTTAACCAATATATCTTCAATAAATTTAAAATGTCCTCTTAGGGATATCTAATCTACGCCTCTATGTTTTACGTTTCACAAACATATTGAAGATGATTTAATCTAGCAAGGTGCGTTTCTATGTTAGTCTGTCTATCTAAGCTTCTATTCTAATGCAAATATTCCCAAGTATTTGTCAAGTATTAAAATAAATGGAGAAAGGCCTTTTAGTAATCTAGCAGAATATTCTAACAGAACTAATTAGTTACTACATTATTTATATTATTAAGTTTTTTATTCGGAATATCGCAAATATGTTAGTATTGAGATATACATCAACTTTTTTGATTTGTTGATATTCGCATACATCCACTATTTATCATTTTAAATACATACAAATTGTTATAGAAAAACTTTCTCAACTTGTTAATAAATTTTAACTTAACATCGAAAAATTGACTAAAATAATACAACAAAATAGTTAATAGTTAATAAAAATATTGAATAAAAAACAAGCACATAAAAACTTTCTTCTAAAATTATGTTTAGTATTTTTGCGTACAAATGAAATACTATATATTTATAAATATATTTAAAAAGAAAGTAAAAAATGTTTTTTAGTATAAATACTAGTCGTTTTAATTTAAGCCAATTATTTTTTAAGTACCTATACATAAAACCGCTGCGGTATAAAAATAAGCGTTAACAGTAACACAACTTATGTACCAAAAGCAATTAAACATATGGTACTTAAAGTGACGTGAATTAATTCGCTTATTATATCCTTTGAAAAATTTACTAACCCTTATTAAATTTTTCCACATGCGGGATATGAAAAGATTTTATAATATCTCCCACTTAAACACAAAATGAAATTAACATTTTACATTATACATATATTTACACATTTAATTTTTCTACATAACTAATTCATGAGAGCTCACTGGCAAAGCCTTAAACCCTACTTACTCAGTACCAATAAAACTCTGAATAAACCAGCACCGTTTATTGACGAGGGGTAATAGTTAACACATGTTTGGGACCGTCTGAAATTTATACTATTGAATTAGAATACTAAAACTTTAATCGTGTTACCTTACAATATTTTATTGTTGAAAATTTGATTTATGATATAAAAAAATTTCATGGTGGACCACAAAAATTATTGATTCAAGTAAAACAATAGTTTTGAACAATAAACGATTGGTCAATGGCATGAGTTGATTTCAAAATTTATGATTTCATATTAATAAATCAAATTATATTTTGGTTCAGATGTTTTTATACATTTTCGAAAGACATTTTAAAATATAACAAGCTACAGCATAACAGAAATTAAAAATGTGAACATGTTTAATTTACTTAAAAAACATGCTACCTCATTGTGGTGTACCTGAAGCATCAGTTATGTCATATTATATTACTAAATCAGATATCTAATTAAAACAATTTGATTTAAAGATCATTTTACTTATTTTTTTGATTTCTTAATGTCATCATTACTCTAACACAAACCATTGCCCGAAATTAAGATTGTTGGCACATATTGCCGGATCGCTTTCCTTATATTTAAGATGGAGGGAGTAATTTAAGCACCATTCTGCCAAAGCATACTCTCCGAATTAACTAAAAAAAATCAAGAAAACATAGAGGAAATATCGACAACGTTTGAGAGAAAAGTTCTTATAAATGTCTTCTACAAGTGACAATCGGATCCGTACAAATCTCAATCTGTATTACCTTTATCACGATATTGGCATTGTTAAAAGTGTAAACATTTAACGGATTCACTGACTTGTTGATGTCATGATTATAGAACACGATGGTCCAGCAAAAAAATGCAGCAGTGGGAGAAAGAAGATGTATCAATAATGGATGATCAAGTAGAGGGACAGAGAACAAGCTTTTGGATATAAATTCTTCGTTAGTCTAAACACAGGCAACGGATTGTGTTAGTAAAAGCGGTAAAAATTATTAAAATAATCTTCAGATCAGAACTTTTTGGATTTTTATTTTGCATCCATAAAATTACAAAACTTTAATTAAAAAATTTGCACTATTTCTTTAAACGTATTTTATGAATTGTTAATCTCTTTGGTAAAATGTAACGATAATAGGATTACTATATATACCAATCATATATTTTATGTTCCATTATGTTCAATTATTTATTTATTCATTTATGTTCAATTATGTGGCAAACATAACTGGTATTCGGAGTACTATAGGTTTTTAAGAAATGTATATCCTAATGTAATCTATAAAACATACTTGTGCTTAAGACCTTTTGGTCTGTTTTAACAAAAGTTCGTCTTTCAGTTTATGAGATAGGTGCACAGTAAAAAATAGTAAAAATTGATGTTCTTACAAGAAAAGTTTATTTGTGATATAACGTTTTAAGAAATTTAAATTAAATTAATTAAAATTAAGAAACTTAAATTAATTAAATTAAATTAATTATCTATCGACTTTATTAAAATGTCTCTATAAAAATTATTTATGAACTGTACCGCTTTATAAAACAAACACTAGCGGACCCAATTTCAAAATTTTCGTTACCTTCTCTTACTTCCCAATTAAATTAAAATTATATAGCTTTTTATTTTAGCTTAACACTATATATTTTATTTAATTGGAAGTTTACAATAATAATATTTATGCAGTGAGTTTTTGAGTATTTTAAGCATTACCATTATTATTATATCAGTATTTTTAATTTAATGTTTTTAACATTTAAATGCATTTAAATCACAACAAAAACTTACCAATTTCATTTCCCGAGTCCATCTCAAACAGTCTAGAAATTCCCATAAAACGAAACACTACGAATAAAAAATGATATATCAAAAAATAAGACAGCTTAACAAAAACTAATAACAAATAAATTATTAATTGAAAAAAAAATTCATTACCAAATCGTTTCAATGAATGATGCAAAAGAAAAATAAATAAATAAATGAAATGCTTAAAATATCATTTTTAATTTTAAGTTTAATAAATTAGATAATAATTTCAAACTTACTTCATATTTTTTTTAAATTAATTTTACCATTAAAATTATATTGTTAATATATCGAGTGTAATGTTTGAATACATTTAATACGTTTGTATTTGCAACTGCAGCATAATTAAATTCAGTTATTAAATATCAAAATATTACAAGATATCACATAAAAATATTGTAAAAACTTTTATTTTATACACCTATAATTATAATTACAAATTTATTTAACATAAAATATTAAACTTTTTACTGAGCAAAATTATTTTCGCACAACTTAAACGACTCAGCACATGCCGAAGCGTTTACAAAGTGAACTGTCAATGCTTTTTTTTGGCTTTCCATTAATGATTGCTTCGTTCCATTTTTTATGATTCTGCAATCATTCCGTACGATCAATCAAAACAACAAAAAAAGACAAAGAAAATATTTGCTTTCATTACAGTAATTGCAGTTTGTAGTGTTGTAAAAGCAAGCATTATCCAAATTTTAACAAATTTGTTGGAAAAAAAGATAAGAAGCAACTAATGCTGTTATTCAAATTCTAACCATTTAGCAAAAGATGCGGCACTTAACTTATTATTACCAATTTGTGACAGACAGCCAACAACTACTCAATTATCATCATTTTTATATTAGGATATGCAACCTAGTATGAATTTTGCCTGCTATTTAATTGTAACAAAATCATAAAGAAAAGAGGTATATATATATATATATATAAACATATATTATAGTGATAATATATAATATATAGTATATATATATTATATATATATATATAACATTATAACTGTATAATGTTATATATACCTGTATAGCTATATACTGTATAGCTGCTATTGAAGAAAAAATAGATAAAAAATATTAGAAATAGATAATTTTGAAATTAAATTAAAAGTTTTTTATATTGTTATGATAATTTTAGTAAAAGTTTTAATTTTTTAAAATCTTTATCATAATTTTAACAGTTAGTTTATCTTCATATAATTATTATTATTTACTACATATAAAAAATTTTAATTACAAAATATTTTTTTTAAAATAATACATATATTATGCAATGGTTTTTAAATTTGAAAAAAAATGTTTTAATATATTCGTTGATTATAATTATTATAGTATTATAATTCATCGTTATGATTGCCAGATCGTTATGATAGACAGATTTCTTTGATCCTTGACCCTCAAATTTCAAACACTATTTTACACATCTTTCATTCAAATTTTCAGCGTACACTATCTTATCCTGCCTCCTAACGACTTTAAAAATATATTTCGTACAATTCAATTTTATTGAATTGTGGAATTCAACTAATGTTTGCATAATGTCAACAATATGCCCAGTTTTTTTAGGTGTTCTGAGTGATTATCTGAAGCATCCTGCCTGGCCAGCTTGTTAAAGATTTTAAAGTAGTTTCACTGTCTGATAGTACGCATATATTCCTTTTAATTATATTATGCACTTTCAGAGAAGCTGTAGTTTCCCTAACAGTGATCACTTCCGCCTGAAAAAGACTGCAATGTTCAGGTAATAAATTTATTTAGTCTTTTCGAGAAAACCCCACTGCCTACACCACTATCTATTTAAAATCTGTAAGTTTCTAACTATTTTGTACCAATATTTATACTTAAAGAATTGTATATTAAACTGATATCGTTAAGTGTTTAATGATTCCAAAGTTTAATCTTAAGTAATTACTTTAGTTCAGGAGACTGAGAGTGTCATATGGGCAAGACTTTTCAGTCTCTACAGTAAGAGTTTTTGCAGGTGATAATACAAATGTTTTTTATTAAGAATATGAAATATATATCTTTCTGTTTAATGTAGTATAAAAATATGAATATAATAAAAAAGATATGTTAAAATTTTACTCTTGCATTGAAAGCAAAAATTATATATTTATATATATATAATTATATATATGTGCCTAAGAAAATTTTTTTAAAGAAAATCAACTATTTATTGCTTTTTGTGCTGCTTTAATCAACATTTTCATTTTAGTACATATCCCGCACTTGTGCACTTTCGTGGCGTATACGATGTCTCCTTTATCGCAAAGATAAATCCGTTCTGGTTGCAATTTGAGCCGCCAACCACAAGGACGTACTACATATTGGCAGTTATTTACATCATCATATCAAGCGTTGGTTGCATTGGCAACGCGTTAGTAATTTTTATGTTTATTCGGTAAGTGAAAATTCTATTAAAGAAATTTATATTTTAATGGCATTTAGATTATTTCCCATCTAAGCTCATATTACATTCATTAAAATATTTTTTATGAAATATTTCTTCTAAATGAATCTGATTTAATTTCTTTAGTAAATATTATTAAAGTTTTTTTTACCTTTTTCTTTCTTAACTATCAGCCTAATTATCTCCTTTAACTATTGAAATATGAATGCTAATATATATCCAACCTAGTAAGAAGTATATGTACTGCTTATAATATTCTATATATTTTATAAGAAAATAACATCAGTCAAATTTTATTTATTTACATATTTAATGTCTGATATAATTACTTTAATTCATATTGTTGAAAAGTTATTCTGTTTTAATATTACATTTATTCCAATACTCTTAATAAATTATACAAATATTTTTTTCATCTGTATATTATTATTTAGCAAACTTTTTAAAATTATGTTAAAAAAAGTGACTTCTGTAGATTTGCTTTTTGTTAAGTCCCAATAATCCTGAAAGCACTTATAATAAAATTTAACATCACAGAAGCTGTAATATTTTTTTAAAAAACTAAAGGCAACCACTTATATCAGATTTTTTGTGATATGTCTGAATGGTAGTCCTAAAAAATATTCTGAACTTAACAATTCGATTGTTTTTTTACAATAACTAATTGCAGATAACAGAAAAATCGCAGTTGAATATTGTCACTATTAATATAATTATTATAACTAAGTGCAATATTTACAAAAAATATAATTATTTATTATTCAAAACTACATTTACGCAGTTTGTTTACATATTTAATAAATATTTATTTTTTATGTCATATATATAAAGATTTTCTACAGGTAATTATTTTTTTTTCTATCTCAGCTGTAAATCTTTACGGACACCTGCGAATACGTTGGTCATCAATCTGGCTGTAAGCGATTTGATAATGTTAGTAAAATGTCCAATTGCTATATACAATAATTTTAAACAGGGTCCAGCATTGGGTGACATAGGTAATATAAACCATTATTTTAGTTAATATTTCACTAATTTATTTTTATATTATTTGTTTATTATATATTTTTAATTTTTTTAAACAATAAATTGCAATTTTAAAAAATAATTCATATACTTTTAAAATATTAATATATTTTTTTAGAATAATTGATTGATTAAAAAATTGCTATTTAATAATTTAAAATAAATTTATTTATTTTAATTAATAAATTTATTAATTTAAAAAAATAAAAAAAAAATTTAAAAGGAACACTTTTATATTGATTTCAAAAAAAAGTTTTAAATAATTTATTTTTAACAAATTCGAAATCCTAAGTTAAGTTATCCTGGCGATCCTAAGCATCCACTTAGACCTGCTGGCTCATTCTATCACCGTATAATAAACTCAGAGGTTTAAAAGCCACTAAATCTTTGGCAAAGCTAAAAATGCGTTCCTCTAATATGAATTTCAGAAATTTTATAATAATTTATTCTCAACAGTTGATATTTTGGCTGTGATTCGAAAAGTAGGGCGTCTTCTTTTCAATTGTAGTTGCTTTATAGAATAAAAGATCTGCCAAGGTAGCAGTCCTACATGCCGTTGGGAAATTTTTTACTCAAAAATTATAGAACCTATTGATAAATTGTGTTGAAAAACCAATAATTAAACTCCTTGTTTAGGGTTGAATGTTTACAACGTTTGTGTCTTAATAGAAAATATCTATTGGATCATATATTTGGATAATACATTATTTTTTCGGAATCATTAATAGCAGTTTAATGGAATAGTGTCTTACAAAACTTTTCTTAAGGTTATGTTTAGGCTTAAGGATAAATTTATTTATATTCTTCAAGCTTGTATTATCCTAAGGTATTTATTATAAGATATTTCCCTCTTCCAGCGATTTGGTTAATACTATATAAAAGGAATTTTTGTGATGATGTATTCCTGATTGATGAACTACACTTCCTTTCTTGGCTTCTGATATCAGTTTTTGATAATTCTCCCTAGTCCTTGAAAAGGGGCTTCCTGAAAATTAAACTCGATTCATTAACAACTAATAACGAAGAATAATAATTAAATAATGATTTATAAAAATGTAATCCAATACATGAGGAAAAAATTTATTTATAGAACTCGTAAAAAGTCAATCAATACTAAATTCATTACTTAATGAAATAAAAACCAACACTGCAAAAATATATACTTAAATTAAAAGTCATTTTATTTATTTATATTTTTTTTATATTATTTACTTATTTATTTTATAATTTTTATTAAAATTTATGTACCTAGACCAACTTTTAATATTTACAACATTTGTATAAAATTATAATACATAAAATTATTTTATATTATTATTCTTTATACTCTCTAAGCTTTTTTTATAATTAATACTGATACTTTAAATCTTAAATTTTATTTTATTTTTTAAATTAGCTTGCCGTCTTTATGGCTTTATAGGTGGCCTCAGTGGTACCGCTTCAATTGGAACATTAACAGCCATTGCCATAGATCGTTACAATGTAGTTGTATATCCATTGGATCCGATACGTAAAAAATTTTTATTAAGAGCACATATTATCATATCAACGATTTGGATTTATAGTCTATTATTTTCGATAGTGCCAGCATTGGATATTGGCTTATCTGTTTATGTACCTGAAGGTTTTCTAACAACATGTAGTTTCGACTACTTAGATAAAGATACGAAAGCGCGTATATTTATGTTTGTATTTTTTATAGCTGCTTGGTGTATACCACTTATAACGATTTGTTACTCATACTTTTATATATTAAAAGTAGTTTGTGCAGCGAATCGCATACAATCGAGCAAGGATAAGAATAAGACTGAACAGAAACTGGCCATAATAGTCGTTTGTATAATCGGGTTGTGGTTTTTGGCTTGGACGCCATATTCAATTGTTGCTATGTTAGGTGTATTTGGTATGGAAGAATATATAACACCACTTGGTTCAATGATTCCAGCTTTGTTTTGTAAAACAGCGGCATGCATTGATCCATATATATATGCAGCAACACATCCACGATATCGTATGGAATTTCGTCGTTTATTTTATGGCGCGCGGGATTTACGACGATCATCCACGACACGTTCTTCGTATATGACAAGATCTACAAGGTCGTCACGTCGATTGCGTACAGTATGTGATATCGAATCAGTACGTAGTCGACCGCCAGAAAATTTTAAAAATAATAATTTGAAGGCAGTACCCGAAGTATCGGAAGAAAATGACTCTTGTGTAGCGGAAGAGTTAATTGAAATTAATGACATAATAGAACAAAGTAAATTTTAAATGTTTTTAGTATATGAAGAAAATACAATTGATTGAAGTACAAATGAAAGGCTAATTGAAAAGAGTAGAAAAAATATTGAAATAATTTTTTTTCGAATAAAAATCAATTAAAGTATTTGTTCTAAGAAATGAGAAATTTTTATTGTTTTTAGTCGATGAAATTTTTTATACTAAAATTTTTGAATAGAAAATTTTTGTACTCACAATTAAAGGTTATAAAATTTAATATTATAATATAAATAATTAACAGATTTATTGCATTTAAAAAAGATTTCACTTAAAATTAAATATTGTTGAGCATTTTTAAACAAAATATTCGTTTCTCGTGAGGGAAAAGCTGAAATTATTCTGTAGTAAGTAAAACTAAATACATCCTTATCCTTTCATTAAGACTTATTATATATAGTAAATACTTTTTTCTTGCCATTACTAGATTTTTTAATTTACTTGAAATAATTACAAAAACGTCAGTTATAATTATTGGAATTTCATAGTAAACAGAATAGTATATTTAGTATATTATAAGTTTTTCTATTGTCATTTGAAAATATTGACGTAATTCTGTCTTTTGTTTTGGCTTAGGTTTAAGAAATAACTACTATTTTCATTAAAGTTTTTTGTATTTATGAAAAAAATATTTTTATTTGAAATAATGCACTTTCACGAAAACAAGCATTTAATATTGGTCAGCATCCTTTTTGCTTGATGAGTAGCTTCCGAGTGCATTTAAATAAAAACGAAATAAAAATTATTATCCTTTAGCAGGTTGAATTCAGGGATTTGTACTAAAGTACAATTAAAATGGCAAAGTAAGAATTACAAATTATTGTCATAGAAAATACTTAATAATACATATTATTATATATATATACTATAAACATATTGCATATAAATATTGATATTTTTTAAACTTTACTAACCTACTTGCATCATTAGTAAGAATATACAAAGACAGGTATGAGTTGAACTTAAGAAACATAATTTTTTTCCTTCCTATGTATCAATAAATGGAATATAAAATCTGTTATTTATTATTAAAAACATTGTTAATATATAAATTTAAAAAAAATAGTTAAAAAACAGGGTATGAAATATATTTTTGTAAAATGTGCAAATTTTAAAGCTATAGATATATAAATTGAAAAACTAAAAGAATATATTTTATTATAAATGTTTAAAGCAAATTTGTGTATGTTTAATAGTAAATAAGGATAATAATATAAATGAATTGTGGGTAGAAAGGATATATGTAATGTCATTTAAAACTTTTTTAAAGAAATTATGCAACTTATATAGTTTCATATATAAAAATTATCATTAATTAGTTTTTATCAAGAAATATCAATTAGTTAAAAAATTTTGTTCTACTTAAAGAATATAAATTAAACCAGCTTAAGTTTAAATTATACCAAATTATTAAAACTTAATTAATAGTACTATCTTTACATTTACAATTATCGAACCTCATTAACAAATATTTGTATTGAATTGGTGTGAAAGATAATTGATGCACATTTATAGAGTTAATTGCCATAGTGTAAACGTAGTGATGATGGTATGTTTTACAATATTACAGTATATTATTATTTAATTTGTGCAAATAACGACTTACAGTTTTTCAGTTGTCTTAAAAATAGAAAATCATAAAGGGTATTCAAACGACTTTAAAAATAAAAATCATAAGAACCTAGAGTTTCAGCCACAAAATTCTTTAATTGAAACTTCATTTTTATCATTTTTATTTTTAAAAAAATGTATACATATATATAGTATTAATATTTTCTTTTTATAACTTTGATATTCCTTCAAATAATATAATGAGCACAGTATTGAAGATTGTTAAGTTATCAAGTCTTTAAATAAATCCTCAGATCAGATTGGTTTTGAAAAAAATTAATTCTATAGCACTACATCTGAAAAAGAGCATATAATAACAAATCTGGTAGGTAAAAAATTTGCATTCGTTCTTTGATCGGATATAGCAAAAAAAAGGTAGGAAACGCTGATCAAATATATGTCTATTTAGACTTAACAAATTGAAACACCTGATTGATTGTCTGTATATTTCAATTAAAAATCATTTCTCTATGTTTGAAATTCACGAAATGTTAGGAATGGACGTAGAGTATTGAGTACTTAATTAGAGTATTATACACTAATTAAGACTTTCTCTTTTACAATGCCTTTATAGATGGTTTGAAGAAATCAGACTAGTCCGAAGAAATAAGACTAGTAGTGAAGCAACTTTCTAAACTCTTTAAAAATGTTTTTAAATTGTATAGATATTCTTTCGAACCAAAAACGGAATAAAAAATTTCAGAACAGTTTATATATGACAGAAAAATTTTGAAGTTGGCTAGATTTTATTCGTACAACTTCAATAGATGAACTGTTCAGATATGCATTAGTGCGAACTCATCGGTTTTAGAAAATTAACAATAGTAAGATTTATTTAATCTACATATTACATATTAATCTTACTTATGGCATAAACATGAAATTATTTTGGTAAATATAAAAATTATTCCATCTCCAACTAGTGATTTTAAAGTTTTTACACATGAAGCTTAAATATTGTTAGTGGAGATACATTGCTTACTTAAATCCCTTAGCATTCTATATGATTCATATTCTATGTACATTTTTTACTAAGTTTATAAGAAACTTTATTCCGATTATAATTTGTTAATATAATTAGTGATAATAATTAGTCTAAGTTAAGTGGTATAATTTTTAAAATCGTTAAAAAATCCTATAGTTTTTATTGAATATTTACATTGTATAGTAACTTGAAATACAATAATATAAGACAAGTTAATATAAATGTATTAGTTTTTTAAAATTCTTAATTGATTTAATTATCCAATTCATGTTTTTTACTTTATCGTCTTAATTATATTATTAAGAAATTTTAGGTAATTAAGAACCAAAACAAAAATTAATATATATAATGAGCTCTTTAATTGTGAATTTTAATTATTAGATGCTTTGAGTGTTTATCATATTAATATTTGTTATATATATTGAATTTAGCTTAATATATAATATTTTCCATCGAAGCTTAAAATAAGTTTTATAATATTTGTAACTTTGTAGTTGTGAAAATTTTCATTACTTTAATAATTATTTTTATGAATAATTAAAATGAAATTAATAAAAAATAATATATTAATTCTGAAACTATCGATCTGACTTTTTTTTTTAACATACAACAAATAAACGAAATGCTGATTTAAACAAGCCAAACTACCGTTTTTGGGAGACCGTTTTTATACCGAATAGAATTTTTGGCAGCCATAAATAAATATAAAGGATATACACAAAGGTGTAGAACATAATATGAACACATGAGAGTATATACGGCCTAGATATATATATAGTCATATAGTCATGTTCAAAACCTACAAAATGCGATACCAATACGAGTATGCTTAAATCTGTATGTATCAAAAGTACTAAAGTAATTAATACCAACAGGACATTAGTATCTGTAGATTAGCTTTAAAATAGGAAATAAATTTATTTTTAACACTTTATCATCCAAATACTAACCACCGATTCTCTTACTACAATTTGCAAACCGTTATAATAAACTCGGCCTCTTCATATGAGAGATTAAAAAATTGATTATAAAATAATGCACTGCGATATACACTGCCTCAGAATTAAAGTTAATCAGTAGATTACCTTCTGGTTCAGTAGAACCCAGAATATCTGATGTTAAACTTCAGCATAAAATTCGAAGGTAATACAAAATCAGATGAAATATGTCTTGCCCAACGTAAGTATCGATTTAAGATTATAGCGGGTTTAATTTATAACATAAAGAAGCAATTGCTATATTAATGTGTCCCTATCACAAATACAGAACATATCATAAAGAGAACTATATTCCAATAGGTAATAATATGCTTCGAAGAGAAAGGTATCTCTCAATTAAAAAACACCAGAGGATTAACGTAAGCAGACTCTATTAAACACTTATGACTGGTGTCATTACTTTGGATCAAAGTTATTCTTGTCGAAAAATTAAGTAAAAATACATAACAAATAATGTACACATTATACAAATAGTTGTGAAATGAAAACTGTTTAAATTTTACACAAAATGTTAAATTACACATATATGACTTTATACTTTACTTTTACTTTATAATATAAATGTCAGTCTAAAGAGCTGGGTAGTTCGCCTGACTACTGCAAGACGTCCATTCTCATTCGTCCTCATTCGAGCTAAGATTGTTGGCAGGTTATCTGATAGGTTGTTGACTTACACAGTTAACAAAATGTGTCAATGTAAGAAAACAGAATGTCTGCTTACATGCAGATGAGATCTTTAGTCACATTCTCTGTAGCTTCTAGAATTGATCTAGGCTAAGACTAGAAGCTAGGCCGGGAGTTCTCATCTTATCTAATATTAGTATGCCCTTTACAATATACATATTTTTGCATTTATCTGAATAGCGAAGTGTTTTCTGTACACTTAGGATAGGACAGCATTAGAAAAGATCAACCGTAATTGCAATGCTCTGCTTCTTTGAGAGTCAGTATCTACACATAAATACTTATACATACTTTAAGCAGCTATTTAGATATAAGTTTAGCACTTAACAGCTACATAGAAAGTTATATAGAAAGTTTTTTATAAGCTAAAACTTCAAGCATTGCTTCATCATACCAATAAAATAACACATTTGCCTGCTCAATGCAAAACAATTGTAGTTCTCTTAGTTTTATATTGGCACAATTTCCCTTATAACTACTGAAATGAATTTTGGGTTATATCTTTATATAAATGCCACAAAAACGCAATTAAGATAAATAAAAATTATAAAAAATAAAAAAAATAGGGAGGCTCTGGACATACTTCTATCCGCGCCTATTAAAAACTATTATTCGAAAAGCATGTGTTATCAATAGAAATGAATTAATAATATGAATCCTTCTATTAAAGTATTAGGTTAAAAAAGTAGAAAAAAAATAATAAAACAAAAAACGTATGAACAAATAAAAAAATTATTGTTTTAGGAAATTAATTAATCCA